ATTCTGTGCCAAAGCATGATAAACAATATTTCGGATAAGAAAATGTTGTCTTCGATAGTGAATTGAGAAATAGACAAAGTTCTCAAGGAAGAAACAGTTCGACTACAATCGATTTATTATAGTTTCATGAACTCTTCATTAATATGCGCCACACCGAGAAATTGATCATTCGAATGGCATTACTACTAGAGATAAAAAGATAATTTTTGTCAAATAGTAAGAGGTGGCTTATGCAATGTATGAGAATAGACAACACAATGAATACCAGATTTGAAACGATTTTTTATCATAACCCTTGTTGCATCGCCTAACCGAAGAACAGCGATGTAAGTTCGATCATGTTCAAAATGAATGGATTCCATCGACTCATTAGTCTTGTAATTGATCATACAATTGAAGACTATCACATGTGGATAAAATACTCAATGAAAATAGACTAGAATCGAAATGTGGAACACAATTTACTTCATTTGTATCTAAACCAACTTTTGACTGTATGACAGAACCGATTATTTGATTAAAATAATTCACAATATCAAGCAGCATACTTAACGAGGGAGTGGGTGTGACTGTGAGTGTATTCTTAATTAATACCCACCCACACCCACACCCTTAATGTTCAACCTGATGAAAGTTGAATTCGATAATTGAATATTTTATTATAAAAAAGAAACCTGAAATCTAGATACTTGTCTATTCATAGAATACACATACAGAACATTGTTCTAGTTGAGAGTGTCATAAAAACACATATGTAAAATATCTATATCGAATAGTTGAATATCTAAACGTCTTCAATAATTAAATTAAGTTTTCACATTGAACAGTACTGTAAATTTTTTGTTTGCTTTAATATAACAACTAGAACAAATTCTTTTTGTTAATAAAACAAAAACATCAAAACCAAATACGAAACGTTGAATTAAAACAGTCAGCATAAAATTCAGATTTATAAAATTTCATGTCTGTATTTTGAATAAGCCAATGTTTAACATCATTATCATCCATAATTATATTTAATTCATTATAAAAATCAGTTGAAAATTTGATTAATTGAGCCCAAAAACAACGATTCCCATTAATATTATTATCAACACTAAATAATGTCTGAAAACAACGAATATATAAAGATTTTTCGAATATAAATAATAATTTTAAATATTTAACATTAGGAAATTGATGAGCAAGAATTGAAATTTCTCTTTCATTAATTAAACGATGTTCAACAGTTAAATGACAAATTGAAGTTTGTACTACCAAAGTCTCTGAAGTAATATCTAAAACAAATTAATTAAGATTGGTTTTTTTCTCGATACATTATATTTAATGAAGGGTGTGGATGCGGGTGTGGATATGAGTGATCACAAGATTGATATCCAAATCCAGCACTCATACTCACACCCACACCCACCCAACCAAAAAGGCTTAAAGTTAAGCCATCGTAAAACTTTCTTTTTCCTCATTTTGGACAGTCACGATCTGTAAAAGGAGGAAATAATTAAATGTTCAATATAATTCTTCAATACAGTTGATCACCGAACATTATTCAACATATCATCAAAATTTTCTTGCTTTTTTAGTTCAAATATTAAAAAAGATACGATCAATTTTTTGAATAAAATTCTATGAGGAACTTTTCCATTTATCAAAGAACATACGTCAGATGAAAATATGAAAAGTTGATTGACGAAGTGTTCGTGTTCCGAACCATCGTTGTCCATATATAGAAATTTTACTAGATGTTTCAGTATAAAAGCATGTAGTCTCTCTCAAGTCATCTAGAAAATAGAATTTTGACTTGAAACTTAGCGTGAACAAAATTCTTAACGAGTCATGCAAAGTTTGAATTCGAACATCGATTTTGTATGTCACCTGAGTAGGACTACAGTTTTCGGTTAAAAAACAATGAAAGCTCGAAAATCCAAATCATTTTGAACGTTTTCTATTACTCATTAAATGAACATAGTCTCAGTCGAAAAGCATATTGTTAATTCAAGTTGAATTTTTTGTTTGCTCTATTTTTATTGATATGATCTATTTTCCAAAAACATATAAGAATATTCTTTCAATATCTTTTTGTTTTTTTAGAATTCGTTCATGAAAACTGTTCATCATTTGAATTCTTCGCCATTGATGTACTTTATGCAAGAAGGTAAGTTCATTGAATATAATCTTTAATTCTTTCATTTGATTTCTATATATTTACAAAGAATGTGTAAACGGATAAAGAAATCAGTATCTTTCTTTTTTGTATCGTTTCGATGATTAATTCACTTTCTGAAGAAATCTTTTAGAGGGTATGGGTATATGAGTGTCGCTTTCTTGCAAAGGAGAATTGCACCCACACCCACCCTCGAGTAGAGTTCTAGTCTTTAGTTATCAACGACACAAATTATATGAAAATACATTTTTTAGAAAATTCTTCTCATCTTTTATTAATTGTTATAATGAATTCTAAAAGCAAAAAAATGATTTGCAAGTAATTCTGATAAAGATAGTTTTGCAATTACAGTTTTGTAGTATAGAGCAAAGATACTTGAGAATTTGATGTACATTTAGACAAAATTTTCATTGGATCTGTTGTTTCATTGACTTGCTGTTGAATTAAAGAATTCTTTCAACGTACTGATCTTCTTAGATAATCTTATATAACAAATTATTTTTTTCGATGTAAATAATACTAACGATAGAATACTGATAAGACCAAAAGTAACAAATAAACCACTCATTTCTTCCAGTTTAATACTAGTAGATACATAAGATGAAGATGAATGTTGACAAACATTTTTATCAAACCATTTCTCTTTTAAATCATCAAGAACACCTGATTCTCTTAAAGATAATATAATGACATCTAAATCTTCTCCATATAACCATTGTTTAGGATAAGCAATACCATATGAACTCGGGGCAAAATCTTTCTCGACAAATGTTAAATTACAATATATATTATTAGTATAATATTCTATAGCACTAGTATCCAAAATCGATGCATCAACTAAATTATTTAATAAACTGTTAAACAATTCATTTTGTGTTTTCAATGGATAATAATTACGAACACCTTCAGAAACTTCACGTAAATAATAATCTTCCACTGATGCTTCTATAAGAATACCAATACGGCTAAATGATATCTTTCCATTTTTGATATCATCAATGCCAGAAATACTATCCTTGGATTTTGATATTGTTAAATCAGATGCTAAATTGGCAGTATATGTTGCCACTAATACCAAGCTTAAGAGATATAAACCTATAGTTAATAATCGTTCGGCAGCTGTTTGAACATGAAAATCTGCACCATATCCCATAATAGTACCAATAGAATACCACATACTCATTCCACTAGATGATATTATTGATCTATTTTACAACGCTTCATTATTCGGTCGTTCTAATATACAAAGTAAAACAGCACATAAACAAGGCAAATCAAGAGTATCAACCATAGATTAAGTGAGAATGGTCTTAAATAGGAAAGAAGATCAATATGAACAGTTTTTGTTTGTCGAACAATAATTCGCAGAGAATTGTCAAATATTGAAGTTGAAAAATCAACTATTTCTCTTCGCTTAGCAGTAACAGTAATATCACCAATTGCTACATCACAAACACTTGTCGCCACTGCTTTAATTAATCCATCATAAGTCTGATTTGCTGGTGGATATATAATGTAAGGAATAAATCCCATCCTAGTTTGTAAAAGATTAATAAGATCGGGTACATAACCACTTAACTTTGTTTGATTTTGTTCAATGATATCTGTTCGTATTATAAATGGCATTGATTCAATAATACAAATTCGTAAGTTTATTCCTTTAAGTCCAGCAAATCCAGTAGGAGGTATTAATGTATTACCAGGCCATATGATGACATCAGCTTGTGTATATGTTTTCCAATTATCAGAATTAGACCATTGCAATACTGGCACCAATTCTATATTATTCGTAGAAGGCTGAATATCTCGTATAACATAATAAATTCCATCTATTCTATCTGTCACATTGGCACTAAATTTTACTGGACCAGATACACCAACAAATTCTGTAGTACTAATCGTATTGAGAAATGAAGTAGCATTAAGAAGATGACGATCGAAACAGAATGAATTGTTAACAATTGATATACATGGAGAAGAACTATTTGTATACGTTGAACAAAATTGTTGTAATGATTGTATCAATGCCCAAGTTGCATCAAATGCAAATAATGCATAATAATTTACTTTTGTTGATCCAGGAAATGTTTCAGGTTCATATTGTTGCCATATTTGATAAGCTGCATTTAATAATGTTGTATTGAATGGTGCATTAACAACACTTCCTATTATTGGTTCTAAAATAAGCATTCCAATTAATTTAGTATACATCGTTTGATTGAAGAAATTAAACGAAACTTTTGAACTTAATATCCATGTGAAATATGGACCAAGTACATCAAAATTAAGTGCAATTTGTAAAATTAATGATGTATGATAATCATCAGCCCATACTATGATAATTCGTGTTGGAGTTGTGGATAAAATATCTTTTAAGTCACCTCGAATATGTTGTGTCGCAATATCAAATACTATAAATTTACTAATTATCAAATTGTTCTCACTAAATGCATTACTTATTACTTCCGTGCCACCTGATCCAAATTCATCATTTTGATAAATAATTATGCAAGATGTCCAATTATATCGAGTAAATAATTTTACAATTGGCAATGTAACAGCAGCATCGGAAGTAACTGTACGATAAAAGTTAGGATATGCATTTCGATCGGATAAATCAGGTTCAGTTGCAGCATATGATATTGCAGGAATATTATCTGAATGAGCAAAAGCAGCAATAATACTAGCTTCTCTAGAATATACTGGTCCAACAATGCCAATAACATTTGCAGTGATTACGGCTTGACATGTACTTCTCAGAGCACCTATAGCATTCCCACCAGTTTGTGCTGCTTGCCATCCAATGAATTCTCCATCAATTTTTACATTATATTGTTGTGAAAGAACTAATGCGGCTTTAAACATCGCACAAGAATGAACAGAGAATTCGGTAGGTTCAGATGTATTTGCAGCGTCTGCAAAAAGACCTAATAGTTGAATGCTCGACATATTTGGAAGTGGCCATGCTGCTCTTGCATAGTGTATATTAAATTGTCCAAATATAAAGGGTAATATCCACCAACGAAAACATCACATGTGCAACATCAACGTTTGATTATAATCTATATATAATGACAGAAGCAAGCATGAAAAAAAAATATTCAGTATAGAAAACATTCGGGACAAAAATTTGAAAGACGTATTACAAGATATGAGTGTCCTGATTGATCAAAAATATACTTCGTACATTGTCATATTGTAGAGCGTCAAAATGAATGAATACAGCGAAGAACTTCTTATCACATTTGTGAAAAGAAAAATATTTCAATCGCAATTGTTGGAATTCTACATATTTAACGTACTAGTAGACAAGTACAATAACAAAAGATGTTTCTATTTTGATGAGGATAAAAGTAACGACGGCCTTGCAAGGGAAGCTATTCAAGTGTGTGACGTGTGGGACTTTAAATTAAACAAAATTAATAAATTCTATCTACGAAAAATCACATTCAAGATACTGAAATTTCAGATGTACTAGAATGCAAAAAATTGGATTTGATTATTGATCGTCTCACCTTTGATTATCGATTCTCACTTAATAGACTAAAAACCGCTCAACAATTTTTTAGTCTGAATGCTTCAATGTTGATATCATTGCACACATACATTGCTCACATATTTCGATGATAAAGAAAGATTCAAAATTTCTATTCACAAGCAAACAGTTAACAAATACTGCAAGATGGTGTAACACAAATGATGTCAATAAAGAATTACATTTATGCAGTTCTATAGTATACATACTTATGCTTTAAGTTCTACCGAAGCGTTCAAAATCTACGGCATTATGAATAGAAACTTTGAACACTCCTTTATCATCAATAAAAAATGAGCCAAATATATTAAAACAAGACAGAGAGATTCAATTTTTTTTATTTTAAATATATTTATGACTCAATTTGTATGTAGAGATCGTCTTTTGTCAATCTGTTCGATTCTACGTAGTTATCCGTTGCTTTCTATTCGAAGGAATAAACCAAGTTTTCTACTCAACCGTGAGTTTTGACTCATCAACAAATTACATCTTTTAGATATAACAAGGTTTATAATGTATGGCAAAGAAAGACTTTAGTTATAAACCACTGATCGAGTTCATCACTTATTCATGTGTAGAATTCGATAAGAATAGAAGAGTTTTTCTCGAAGAAGCTGATCTATTCGGTCGTATTTCTAAATTATGACTATTGTACTGAACTTTCGACCTTGCGATCCGCTGTTAAAGAAAAAATCGAATAGAAAAATTTCAACCTGAAACTTTGTCCATAATCAAGTTTTACGAAGAATAAATCATCCTGAATGCTTCAGTACAAACAAATGATTTCGTCTCGAGATATTGAAAAAAAAGACTCGATTTTCGGATTTTTCTATGAAAAATGATATTTTTTTCGTAATCGGCGTGTCAAGAAGAAATCATCCATTTCTTGTTAAAAATTTCAGTACAGTTTACTGGCTATGAAATATGATTATGGACAAACTTTAAAGTCAACATAGATTCATTCAATTTATCGGCTAGCATGCGGAACGTAATGGAAAATGCAGTAAAATTGTCACAAATTTCGAAACTTCGTATATTGAGATAACATCGTTGAGTGTTCTCATAATTTCAGTAAACGATACATATCAGTTAATGATAAACTCGATTGGTGATTCACAACTGAACATTTTTCCATGGAAATGAGAAATTCTGAATAAAGTGTCGTGATGCTATGAATTTTTTTTTCTCGTACCTGTGCTTTTCACTCATTTGCTATTTCATTCAATCTTCTCGAAGAAATAAAAAGGCACACGTCATATGGTAAATGAGATATATGCTTTTTTTTCATTAATATGTTGACAAGAGCGTCATCAAATACTCATTTAAAATTATTTTCTTCATCTAATATGCCTCATACAACTACCGGATGACGAATAATTTGTTTCTCATATAGCAGATATGTTGATGTGAATAAAAAAAATGGAGTGAAGAGTATTTAAAAAAAAGTAACACAAAGACGTTTTCCAGTATTTTCGAGACATTTTCAATAGGAAAATAATTAAAAACAAACAAATACTGATCATATTCATTGAAGAATAATTAAATATTTCGAGAGCTGTTTTATTTCAAAATAATATGAATAAAAATAGTCTATTTATATTTCATAAATCATTGTAGCAACTAGAAACAGAAACATTTCATTAATATTTTTGAACAACTTTCACGAGACATGATATTCAATGATAGTTAACGTACGTATTTCTATAAATGAATCATATAACGAAATTTGGAAAGATCTATATTGCAACATTTCCAGGAAAAAAAAAACAATCTTATAAATTTTAGGTTCTCGTCTCAAAAATTATTTTAGTAAAGTTCCATCTTCACTCGTAGGTCCTATAAAACAAAGAGCAAATTTTTGAAAAGAAAATATGAATATGGAAGAGGTACTGCGTTTCACAAAATTTATCAAGATATTGTTTGACTCCACATAAGAAAAATCGAGTTGTCTAGACACAAAAAATTTTTTTTTTGTTGAAAAACAATCGCTTCTAAGGAACTAAAGTGTCAAAGACTGATCGTGAACATTTAATATAATCGACACACAAGATATTTTGAAAAGTGAAGTCGAAGCTAAGATATTGATTTGTGATTCTTTAGAAGACCTTGTTGGTTTTGTCATTCACTCGAAGCAGATGATTATCGATGGAGAACATGCTTGTTCTAGTTGTTTTATGACTTGCACACATTACAAAGGCAAATTAGTAACGCAATTGTGTTATTCTAGATTATATTGTACAGATGATCTACACAGTTTTCAAGAAAAACGATGAATACACAAATGATAACACTTACTTTGCATTAACATGAATGTTTAAATTGGGTGACGTCAGCCTATTTTGATTGATTACTTAGAATTTGTTGGACATATTCAGTGTAGATGCATCATATTTCATGTAAAATAGAGAAAAATGTTTCTTCAATTAAAAAAAATAATATCCTTTGAAATATTTGAGCAAATAATTAAACTTGTCAATAGAGAAACATAACAAGACTCGTGTTTGAATGTATTGCATCTGTATTCGGTAGTTTAATTTTCGATAAAACATTAAAGTTCACTACGAAAATCTAACAAAGAAAGTAATCATATTTATATCGTCATCTCTCGAAGTGAGACTTCGTTCACTGTAATACTACAATAGTAAAAACGAAATTTAACGATTGAGAATAATTTGTTCATAAATTTGAATTGTTTTAGAAAGTTATTTCGAAGAGAGAGAGAGAAAAATTGGAGCAATCAGAAAAACAAGTTCAAAATGGCAACAATTGATTTTTTTTATAAGCGTGGATGTGGGTGGAGTGTGGATATCAATCTTGTGATCACACACATCAACATCCACACCCTAAATGGAAGAAAATCGAATAGGCACTCTATCGTAGAAATAGTATAGAAAAAGAAGAAAAATTCTGACTGAATTATAGTTATAAAAGTCGAGCACGATCTATATACAATAAGAAAAATAAACAAGGAAGAAAAAACGGTTTTATTGAATAATATATAAATCGAGTATGAACTAAACAATACTAAGTTAATATTAAAATTTTCTACTGAAAATCTGATTTAGTCGAAGAAACTGCGAGTTCAAAATAGTTTCGAATGAAGAAAATTTTGATTTCTAAGAATTTATTCGGAAAAATAATAAGATTTCTATCTAAATTATATGATGATAAGACAAGAAGAATATTTAAAAGCCTTGAAAATCTTAATTGATATCACATCACAAATATGTTACGATGAAAATAACAGAATGGAACACTTCTATTCTCTCACACCGACATCGATGTGTCTCAGTCTAATTATCGTTTGTTTGGTTACCGATTTATTTGCACATTGAATTTTTATTTATAAAAATTTTGTTAAAAAAATCGAAAATGTATCCATGTAAAAAAAGCTGGTAGGATATCAGATTAAGACCGATTTTTTTCGGTCACAAAATTATAGAATAAATTCGATTTGAACAAATTTCAAAAAAAATAGGCGAAATCCGCTTTTATTACTGGAAACAAATCGATTTTAATCTCATTTCTTATCAATTATTTTTACATAGATATTCTTCGAAATCTCATGAAAAATAGACAAAAGAAGCGATTATTTTATAAAATGTTTTTATTTATTAACACAATATTATAGGCTAAACAGCAATTTAAGTAGTCATTCCAGAATATCATAACGATTATTGGTCACATTGAGTTTGCGGAATATCAAAACTTGATTAAAACAGAAAAAAATCGCACATATTTTAAGATAGGTCTTCGTCTTCCAGCATAGTTCTATGATAGTTTTTATTGACAATTGCTTCGAACGATACGATAATTGAAAATTACGAAATAACTTCTAATATCTATAAGTATTTCTACTATCACTTTTCAAGTCTTATAACGTTCTGTATAGTTTGCTTTACTACTTCGTAACAAACAAAATGAGCGAAAATGTGATGGAAATTAGTTACCATAGTAGAGACATTCTGTAAAATGCAAAATAATAACCAAAGAGCTGAACACTGAATGGTCAACGATGTGTTGAAATTGCACATATTAACATATTTTTTTACCAAAATCTTTCTAATAGAAGTAAGAATCATCTGGACGTGTGACTATGTAGATTTGTCAGACTTATTAGTCGTAGAATTATTTTGTAGTGAACTTGATTTATTTCAATAAGTTTAAATATTTGAGTGATTTTGGTGCTTATTGCACCGTTTTTTTTACAAAAATGGCCAAAAAAAAGAGAACGACTGCACTTAAAAGTGTCGTCATCTGATAGAGAATGCTTTGAAGTATAAGAAAAAGTAGTTTTACAAACTAACATTTTTTTCTTTTGTCTGATTTA